TGATCACGGTATAACGGCAATGTCGGGATGACTGGTACGCGCCAAGGCAACCGAAAAAGCAATTAGGAGCCAGATCGCAATTACAACCCATATTCTTCGACAGTTGATGACCCTTTGGTTGACATCCTGAAATGTACAGTAAAGACTGACTTTCGTTAGCAAGATTAAGAGATGGCGACACTCCGGTATCAACAGGGGCAGAGGTTGTAAAGGTCACGAGAGACATAATCGATTGCCTATCCTTGAAGAATCCTACGACATTCATACATATCAAGGCATAACACAAATTCAATGCTTAAGTAAAGCACTTACGAACCAATCCTCACAACCATCTGTGGATGAGAATTCACGCGAAAACTCTCTAGCTTGCATTTGCATTGCATTGTGGGAATTTCGATCTTTATCCCTTCCTTTGGACAAATCAAAGTTCGGTTGCAAAATGAATAACGATTCAAACTAATCAATAGTTTGGTATCCAAATTTCACCGCGACAGGTATGTTCTATATATTTAGTCTTTATTGTTAGAATGTCCACATGTTATCCTAAACCATATTCAATGAAGAAATCAATGGTGAAACTTAAACTTTAAAATCTAACTACAATACCACCAAAGAGCACACTGGAGTTATTAGACTTTTCACATATTAGTAACGGAACAACTTCCATACTAACTCTTCAGACATTCTATTTGTTCTTAATATTTTATGGATTCAAGTAATATGCTTTCAGATAGTTAGTGACATATATATGATAATGTAAAGTGGAGTATTATGGAAGATGAGGATGAAATGTTGGTGTTTTTTTACCGCAACATGCAGAAACACATATGCAAGATGGTTAAACATATGGTTCAAATAACTTTCAAGCCTTAGTCAAACAACTCTGCAGAATGTAAGTCCCACATTATTTTGACTACATTTAGTTTAAGTGTTTATATAACACACACTAACTCACCATATTGTCAACATATGGGTAGGAGAATTATTGCAAAGTTATGGGCCATTGATCTAGAAAATTTATTTTTATAAAATTGTATTAATTAAAATTATTAATTTATTCTTTAAAAATTAATTATCTAATCATCATTGACACATCATTGATTTTTTTTTATCATAGTCATCATTGATACACATGCAAAAATGGAAGGATTAACAAAGTTTTAAAAGAAGTAAAATCAAGGTAACAAAAAAGTAGATTTTAAAATAGATAGCTGCATAGGGACATCGAGTCTTCGGGTGTGAATTTGAATACACAATATCCCATTTATTCATCTTTAATAAAGTAGATTCCAATCATTAAACTTCTTTAAACAAAATTAAATTTGTTACTCAATCAACAATGTATTTAACCTCTAAAATATAAGATAAATTTTAAACACTAACAATAAAAAATTATTTTACACATAGTTAAATCAAATTAAATAAATATTCTAAAAATATTTAAAAAATTAACTTATAACAGTAACATCATATAATAATTTAATTGGTTGAAACTACATCCAAAAGATATAAATTAAAGAAGTTATAAACATATATTTTAATCAATATCTTACACTATTTCTTCACTTATTTTTAATTTAAATAAAAATATTATTTGTATTTATTTTTATTAAAATAAATTTTGTCGGCAAGTGTAAAAATGCAAAAAAAAAATTGAGAAAAAAATAATGATTGACGATATTCCCTATGCGACTTTCTTAAATATTGAGAATCGTTACTTCTTCACTTCATTCCGCCACCGTCACTCTCAAACCTTAAAACCTAATCCCAAATCTCAATGGCACCACCAAAAAGACTATGTTTTGCTCGACGATCCATCCACCGCCTCCTCATTCGACGATGACCTACCACCTATACACAAAAAGCCAGAAGATGAAGCAGTTGATGAAGAAGAGGGAGATTCATCCGAAGAAGGAGGAGAAGAAAATGATCAGGATCAGATGGAGAAAGGTTCAAATTACAGAGATGGAACTGTTTATGGCTCACGAAAAGCTGCTTAAGGATCAGATTAGGATTGCATTGGAGGCATAATGAGAAAAACACAAGAATGAAGGGTTGAATTGAGTCCTCTTTTCTCTATAGCTTTTCCTCTTTTTACTTCTGATTGATCTTAATCAAAATCTGAACACTCAAATTACAGAGATGGAACTGTTTATGGCTCACGAAAAGCTGCTTAAGGATCAGATTAGGATTGCATTGGAGGCATAATGAGAAAAACACAAGAATGAAGGGTTGAATTGAGTCCTCTTTTCTCTATAGCTTTTCCTCTTTTTACTTCTGATTGATCTTAATCAAAATCTGAACACTCAATTCAGAGTATAAATCAGAGTCACTCAAAGTCTGAACTCTTGAATGTCTTTAACAGATTCTGAAACAGAATCTGACTTATAGGTAAACAAATGATATCAACTGAATATATTTCAGAAGCAAATAAAGTAAAGTAAGATATACAAGCAGTTATCTTGGTTCCTCTCACAACTTGAAAGTAGTCCAATCCCCTAGCACTTCAAGGGGATTTCCAATATAACCAAACTGATTACAAATTCTCAAGCACCAAACAAGATACTTCCAATGCTAAAAGCCACAAGTAAGAGAATTATATGCTCAAGCACACAGGCTAGAGACTTCCAATGCTCAAACCATCAAGTAAGAAACTTCTATGCTCAAGCACACAAATAAGAGACTTGAAATGCTCAAGCACTAAGGTAAGAAACTTCTAGCTCTATAACAAATTGTTAAAAGATTATGGCAACAACTACACATGATATACAATTAGAGGTGTAGACAGAATATAACTTAGAAAGACTATAAAACTTAAAAACTTCTAAAATATACACAATGTGAAGATGTTTCATGTCTAGCTTGTTTTTGATAGAGTGACTTCTCTTTGAAATGTCAATGTTTAGAGTCTTGTATTATTGTGTATTTTAGTTGTAATTGTCTTCTTTTTCTTCTTCTTCTTCTTCTTCATGTCTTATGCTCCTTAAATAGAGATGAAGAAAAGAGACGCTTAAGACTTTTACCAAAAGATTAGGCTAACTTTGTACATGATTATACACATAAAAAACACCTTTTTGCAAGAGGAATTATCTGTTGAAGCTCCGATAACAAAGAAAATATTTTTCCTTGAGTATTCACGGGATTAAAAAGTTTTCGTGGCTGTCAAAGTTTCCTCGATAGAAGTGAAGCTGCTTCAGAGGCTGAATTCACTCTTCAGAGGCTAATCATTTTAGAGTTTGCTTCTTGACTTCTGAAGCTTCAGAGTCTGGGTCACCAAAGACCGTCTATCTTTAGAGTAGACTTATTCAAAGTCTGAGTCTTCTTTCAGAGCCAAAATCTTTAAAAATGTTCTTTAGAGTTAGAGTCTGAACTTAAGATCAGGATCCTAAAGCTTCTCTTCATCTGTTCTTAGTCTTATAAATATTCATACTTGAACATATATTAAAATGCCCAATTGTTCTTTAAATATTTTATTATCATAAAAACCTAAGGAATATGGTATCAACCATTTTTATTCCAACACCGACATGGTGTCGAGTAGCTACTCAGGTCTGTTCCTAAGAATGCTCCAAAGTCATTCACAAGATATGTTCTTGAGATTCTCCCAAACTACATCTCAAGATGTTAGTCGAGAAGCTCCAGTCGACGTGTCATCACTGTCAACTCTTGTCCATTAATGCTAACACTTAGCACTTCACAAAATGCAACACTTATTTGATTTTTCCTACAAAGTAGAAAACCTCAAGTCAACAAAATGACAAGAACGATAAAAAATGCACCAACATGATGTGTGACAAATGACAAAAACAATTAGCAACAGAAACGCAAAGAAACACCAACAAAAGAACGCAAGGACCAAATGCCACAGTCCTAGCCAACGGGATGGAACGACACTCTCTACAATAGTAGAGAACTAATACTATAAAGGAACAAAAGAGGAATCAAAACATTATAAAAAGAGAAGATCACTAATAACACATATTGAAAGATTTAATTTTACGTAAAGATTTTAACCAAATCTTAAAACATCAATATTCGATTCATTTTCTCAGATATTTCATTTTCTTAGGATAAGTTAATGTATTCAAATTCTATACGATATAAGATTAATTTTAAACACTAATAATAATAAAAATTATATTATAAAATAATTTAATTGTATAATAAAAAAGTTATAAACATATATTTTCGAATCAACATCTTATATTATTATTATTAAAATATATTGTGTCGACTAATATAACTTTTTTAATAATTTAAATAAAAATATTATTTATATGAATTTTTCATCTATTTACAATTTAGCATAAAAAACAAGTGAAATTATTAAATATATTTTCTCTATTTTTTATTATAAACTGTTTCTTACTTTTATATATATTAAAAAATATAATAATTGTGATATAGAAAAAGAAAGGCAAAATATCCTTCTTGGTCCCTTAATTATACCTCGGGGTTCATTTTGATCCCTTAACTTTAAAAAGTTCCATATTGGTCCCTTAACTCTTCAAATGTTTCATATTAGTCCTTTTTGACCTATTAGCGACGGATTTAGCGACGGTTTTTTGATTTTTTTTCGTCGCTAATAGGTCAAAAAAGACTAATATGGAACGTTTGAAGAGTTAAGGGACCAATATGGAACTTTTTAAAGTTAAGAGACCAAAATGAACCCGAGGTATAGTTAAGGGACCAAGAAGGATATTTTGCCAAAAAGAAATTATAAATTTTTTTACAAAATATAATTAAATTTTTTTTAATTATATAATAAAAAAATAACATTAATTATTTTTTTATATTATAAATCACACAAAATATTTTTCTAAAACGATATAATAGGAATTCGTTATTCTGTGTACCATATAAAAACGTAAAAAGATTAATTACTTTCTAGAAAACTGAATCGACGATATTCCCGATGCAACTTTCTTAAATATTGAGAACGTTACTTCATCGCTTCATTATCGTCGCTCTCAAACCCTAAACCCTAATTCCAAATCTCGATGGCACCACCAAAGAGACTCCGTCCCGCTCCGCTCGACGATCCACCCACCGCCTCATCCTCCTCCGATGACGACCAACAACCTCCACCAAAAAAGCCCGAAGATGAAGTAGTCGATGAAGAAGAGGAAGCTTCATCGGAAGAAGGAGAAGAAGAAAATGATCAGGATGAAGATGAAGGTTCTTCATCCGAAGAAGAGGAAGTTCAACCTACACCTCCTTCACAACCTGCTTCCAAAAACCCTCCACCTTCTACCCCAATCTCAAACCCTAAACCCGAATCTGGTTCCGAATCCGAATCTGGTTCTCAATCCGGATCAGAGTCTGGATCCGAATCTGATTCTGAACCTGAACCTACTCCACCTCCCAACGCCAAAGTCAAGCCTCTCGCATCAAAGCCTATGAAGGCTCAACCACCGGCCAGATCTGGAACAAAGCGTCCAAGCGAAAACGGTTCTAAACGTGCTAATAAGAAAACAGCCGCCGGTGGTGGTTCCAACGACGATAGCGAGGCGGATGAAGACGGAGACGTGAAAATGACTGGCGAAGACTCTAAGAAGATGCATCAGAGAGTCTTCACCGAAGAAGACGAGATCGCCATTCTGAAAGGTCTCGCTGAGTTCATTTCCAAAACTGGAAAGGATCCTATGAAGGACCCAGATGCATTTCACAATTTCGTGAAGAAATCGATTCATGCAGATGCCAACAGCGCGCAGCTGAAGCGGAAGGTCCGTGGTCTGAAGTTGAAGTTTAAAGCCAATGGTAGTTTCACTAAAGAGCATGACAAGAAAGCTTTTGAACTTTCAAAAAAGGTTTGGGGCAATGATGGAGGCAATGGAGTTGAAGAAAATGGGAAAGTGAATGAGAAAACTCCGAAGAGTACTAAGAAGGAAGCTCCTGTAAGAAACAATGGTTCTGCTAAGAAAGAAGTAGTTGCCAAGAAGGATACTGGAAAAGTCGAGAGTGATGTTGATAAAAGCTTGGCTTTGAGTGAAATGTGTAGTTTTGGTGAAGCTGCGGGGTTGTCCTCCTTGAACATGGATGCTATGAGAAGGGGAATGGAATTGTTGGGGGAATCTAAGGTAGATGAGTTTGATGCTAAATGGAAGAAGGTTCAAATTGCAGAGTTGGAAATGTTTGTGACTCGCGGGCAGCTGATTAAGGATCAGACTAGGCTGGCATTGGAGGCATTCAAGAAATCAATCAATTAGGGTTATTTTACTTAGTGATGATTTTGTGGCTAATCTGGTACATGTTTTGGACATGTTATCTGTTAAATCAATCAATCAGGGTTATCTTTCTAGGGATAATTTTATGTCTAATCTGGTACATGTTTTGGATATGATCTCTTTTTACTTTTGCTGCGATTTTGCGTATATCTTATGGTCATTTGATTTAACAACTGCTGTTTATTGATGAATGTATTATGGTTGTTTGATATGAAATTGTTGTGGCTGTTTGATCATTGATTATATGAAATTGTTATGGTTGTTTTATCATTGATTTATATGAAATTGTTATGGTTGATTGATCAATGATTATATGAAATTGTTATAGTTTAGAAATTCTAAATATTGTCATTGCTGAACATACACACAATATGTAGTTTTGATGGTTGTAATGTTATACCAATATGTTTGGATATGTGGTTTAAGAGATCTTAGTCACTCTCGAACAGATACAGATTGGGAGATCTCTGAAATGAATTTCAAAATATGTACTTGGTTGCTGAACTCTTCATGCTTGTGTTCTTTGAACTACTATGTTTATATCGATGAATCTATTAGTTTGAAGAAGGGCTCGTTGTATAGTTTCAATCATGTTCTGAGAATATGTTATATGAGAACTTTGCTTTATATGTTGAGTTCATATATAGATTTATAGTTGGTTTAGCACTGGTCCATGTTTTGAAACACTAGACCAGGTTTAATGGTCCATGTTTTGAAACACTAGACCAGGTTTAATCATCAACACTAAGGACAAATGCATGGTCCTGGCATTCAACGCTCAGTGTTAACCAAATTTTGACTCTGGGAATGGATACTCAATATGTTTCCCTCATGTTTCTATAATCTCCATCTTTTGAACTGTTTTCCCCCTAAATTATCTTTTGTTCTCCCTTTTAAACTCTCGTAAACAATTTTTAAATTATATGAACAGACTATTCCCATCTGGATTTCAGAAGTATGATATGGAAACAATGGTGCTTTCTACTAATGTGTGACTTGAGTAGTTTCTTCTGCTTGTCTTTTCTTTTTATATTGTGTAAACAAAGTCTCCCTGCTTGTCTTTTCTTTTTATATTGGAAAATTAGATACGAGAGGCGCCAAGCCAACACCTTATATCATAGAGTGCTCCGTATATAATTTTCCAACTAGCATTGTTAAATTCTCTTAAGTTTTTTTTATATCCAAGCCTCCTTCATCAATAGGTTTACAAATTCTCTCCCACTTTACTCAATTGATTTTCTCTCATACGCTCTCCCTTCTAAAAGAACTAGTAGAAGACCCGTGCTTCCGCACGGGACACACGGAAAAATTAATTCTTTAATATAAGAGCATTTTTAAATAGAAATAATAAAATCAAAATGATCATAATTTCACAGTATTTATTGTGAAAATATTCAACTGTTTTAAAATATATTCAACTTCATTAGTACATCTCAGAAGTCTTGATTTTATTGGCGAACCCAAATAAATACACATTTTTTTATTTATAAATGAATCAACACCAATGATTCAATACTTCAAAAATACTAAAATTCAATCAACAGAGTGATATATCGGATGACACACTGGCCCTCCTAAAACAACTCATTGGTGGATAATACAGCCTACAGTTGTAATGGACACAAGCTATCATGTTGGTTTTTACATTCCTGCTAAAAGTGATAAGCAGAGAAGACTTAATCACTAAAAGTACACAAAACATAACATAATGTTCTCTACTGTAATCGCATTCTCACATATTGATGATATAAGGCAAACTAAATTTTTGAGGGCCATGTTGTTTGGGCCGACATAATAATTCCAACAATAACTCCAAATAGGCCAAGTGCACTGCCAAAGATCTCAATCACAAGAATTTTCACAAAGAGGGAGGAGTTCTGAGCATCAGACAATGCACAACTGCTTCCAATTATTCCTACACACAACCTGCAACAACACAAATATTTGAGTTATGGACAACAAATGGATAAGGTCTCTCTTCATTATTCGCCAGAAGAATTATTGGGAAGATATGAGATGCAGGTAAAAAAAGTTTACACACCCACAAACAAGATTTGCGAAGCCCACAATGAGCCTAGAAGCAAAGATTGCATATCCAGCTCTAAGAGATTCTGGTTCATAGATACTTGATATTTATTGAATGCTAGGTATGCAAAGTATGCAAGTCCTATCATAGCCTAAAATATAGCAATGAAGTTTATAGCTTAGCATAACTATAATCATTGAGAAACATTCAAAAGATTCAAGATAGACTCTAAACCAAACTAAGCGGAGTGATGGGCCCAAATTTATGGCTCTCCTAATAAGCAATGGTCAAAATATTTACAGAAAAAATTGCAATTTCCATTTTCTCCAATTTCAATACTGTAATAATTTGTTTACCAATAATGTGACACTTTTTAAACATTCATATTTGATACACTCAAATTTGAAAAAGTAAAAAAAGTTAAGGGAATAGTATCAAAATATACAATAACGTAAACAAAGTTTTCTATGTTAGTTAAGTATTAAAATCCAAGTTGCTACAGTTATGCTCTGTTCTCTTTGATACAAACTCATGCATGCTAGCTGAGATCATTTCTTCCCACCAATCTTGGGTTATATATTTATTAACAATAACCTGAAACTCTTGAGATATATACATGGCAGCTTCCAGGATGCAAATTCTTTTTTTTCTTGATAGAAGCATGCAGATTCTTAAGTTTCCCATTAAAAGATAGCATTCAATGCGCCACAGAAACAGTTTTATCCTTGCTGAAGCAAACTGTATTCTGAAAGAAAAAAAAAGAGTGGAATTCAACAAAAATCGAGAAAGTACCTCTTAGATTCAGAAGGATTGGTACTATTAGAAGCATCTGGCTTCAGTTCCTTCAACTTATTCGACGAACGCAACAGATATCTGATCATTCACCTGTGAAGATTGGCACCAGTCAACACAACATAAGGGGAAAAAAACTCTTTTCAAATTTTTGAATTTTTTGACTTATGACCCTTCTTTCCTACATGTAGTGCTGGATAGCTGGCACAAGGAAGTTTATGGCAGACCTATGCAGGAACTATGGACAAAGCTTTTGCATCTTCAATCTGTTAAAAAGCCTCTGACTAAGAAGTACACTGATCTACAAAAACAGATCATCAAATCCAGACAAGAGCTACATCAAGCCCAGGAAAACCAAAGGCATGACTTACTCAATGTGAACATTATAGAACATGTCAAGAACTGTACAGACAGAGTCACTCACCTCAATCAAATTGAAAAAGATGTGTTGAGGCAAAAATCAAAGGTCAATTGGCTGCAATTAAAAGATAGCAACAATGCATATTTCCATGCACTTGTGAGAGAAAGAACTAAGGAAAAGGGACTATATATCAAGAATGCTTTGAATGGAGATTTACTAAGCACTCCTAAGGATATAGAGAAGGAAATCGTGGATTTTTATACTCATCTGATTGGCACAACAACACCAAATATAAAAGGTATTGACATCCGTGTGGTGAGACCTGGTAACACCTTGAGTACATAAAATGCTTATAAACTCATCAACCCTGTAGAAGACAAGGAAATTTGGGATGCATTCAATAGTGTTGGAAACAATAAAGCACCAGGTATTGACGGCTTCAATGCATACTTCTTTAAACATACCTGACAAATTATAAAATATGATGTCAGAAATGCTATAAGGGAGTTTTCTGAGGCAAGCTACATGCATAAAGCCACTAACTGCTCCTTGGTGAATATAATCCCAAAATCCCATGAATCTAGAACTGTAAAGGATATGACATCAATTGCCTGTTGTAGTACAATATACAAGATCATTTCAAAAAATTTGAATGCTAGACTTCGTGAAGTAATTGGCAACATTGTTGAAGATACCCAATCTACTTTTGTGCTTGGCAGAACCATCCATGGTAATATAATGCTAGCACCAGAATTGGTTAGAGGCTACAACATCTGCTTTGCTTTCACCTGCTGCGACCACTGCCACGTTGGACGCATAATTGATAACAGGCAAAGTGAATATGATTCTCTCAGGTGGGGGTATAGGGGAGTCAGTAATAAAAGTTATCCATTCTTCTCTTCCAACTTTAGCATGATATATAACCATTTGAATCATATAATAGTGAAAAAATAAATTTATGTGATGCAGAAATCAAATACATTGAGTGCTTTAAAAAACTAACCTGATGTGGAAATAGACTGTCGTGAAGAGCAATCCCATCAGCATTTCCATGACTATAACCAAAAATATATATTAGACAATATAGCATGAAATACAATGGAAATAGCTACCCTAAAAATGTAATTGATAATTCAAACATATTGGATTTCTTCTAGTGGAGAAAGAGTTCGACAGCTGAATCTCAAAAAACTTAGGAAATTGAAAAATATGCTTTGGGCAGTCACTAATCTCAGACACGTTGATAACACGGGTTCTCACTAATTGTCGGATGACAAACTCATAATCATCAGTAGCTTCTTCTGCTTACACAGAATCATTAATAGAAACTGCATGACTGGGGACTATAGGCACCTGTTGATTTAACAAGCATATCAGCAGAGGAACTAATTAATATATTAATTAATGACAAAATCAAGGCAGGTACAAGTAATGTATTTCAGCCTCAAAATTCAAATTCTTATCTTACATGGTAGGAGACAATAAACATAGTTCCCAAAAAGAAAACAGAGATATGAAACAAAATTTGTTTTTTCATCCCCACAAAGTCGCTATGGGATTCATGAAAGGTTCTAGGGGGATCTCAGCTTCTTCTTGTGTTGGCCTACAACACAAATTGTCCCAATGAACCTCATCCTGCCAAAGACACATATGAATCAACATCAGGTAAAGGTAACATCCAAGGATTTACCTAAGAACTACCAAAGATAACAGCAAGAATATTGATGACTATGGAATATTTTTAGCTAAAAAGAAGGGAAGATATCAAATATAACCTCAGAGTTGTCATGGTAAAACCATACA